ACAAGATCTGCAGCCCTGAGGATGAGATCTCTCTATTAGGAAGACCTTTCAATAGGTGAAATAATATTTCAGGAGATGCAGCGTCATCCCAAGAATATAGTGCAAGTTGGTTCAAACGGTTGCACAATGGGGAAATTCTTACTAATCCTCTAATATATCTCTCCAGATATCAGACTCTGAGAAGACATTCCATTGGACTGTATCAGACGGATATTGTGGCCATCATAGCGAGAAAAACCGCCTATCTCTTGGCTGTCACATAGGCCTGCTTCTTCAAGGGAATCTCACCTCACTCTCTGAACATTACGTATCTGAAAGAAATCAACGAAAAGCTATTTGACATCACCTAACAACTTTATATCTTCTGCGACAGATATAAGTATGAAATAGTTCGAGAAGACTCAGCCAAGTCGGATATTAAGAGTGTGACAATGAGTAACCATACGACGGTCTCCATCAGTATTCAGGAAGTGCTCCAGACTCATGTGCAGGAAGGTCTCCAGCCAACTCGTCTCAAATTGGGATATAAATAAACAACAAACCACGGGCCCTCCCAAGGCAATCACATTGTCCAACAGCCGCAAAATTCTCAACGAAAACATGTAAGTCTTACACAAAAAAGTCAAATATTGTCAAGAGGTTTACGGATTTGCTTAAAGCATGCATCACCACTGCTGATGTTCAGTACGCATCCAAATCGCTGGAATCACCACAATCAGCAAGGACATCTTCAGTACGAGTTGTCCGATAGGCCCTTCGGTGCGCATAATCGAGGAGGACAAGGTCACACGGCGATTGGCAGCAGTCAGGCCTTTGTGCATGGGTGGGCGCTGCACTTTACAAACTCAGCAAGAACTTCGCCGTCGCTTCGGCTGTGGTTTTTCAGAGTTAGGCTGTTGCTGCTGTTTCAACTTTAGCTTCGACGAGAAGCCCAATGCTGTGGGTTGAAACTGAAGATTGTCGGCGAATTTCGTGACACTATGGGACCCAACGAGGTAGGAGAGTTTTGCTTTGACAGTGGAGAGTTCTGGCCCGGCTACTATGGCGACCCGGAGGCGACGAGGCTACGGATGACTTGGGCTATGTGAATGACGATAGGTACGTGTATACGTGTGGAACTTAAGAAGGATCTTCTGAAGTACCGGAGCAATAAATATTATCCACACGAGCTCGAGTACAAATCTCCCAAATGCCGGTCGTTTTAGAGGTCTTGACTGAGACAAATGGGGACAAAGACGCTGCCGCTGTCGTCAAGAAGCCGAGTATCCAATTGAATGAACAGGAAGTCGTGGACTACGTATCTCGGTGGTGACCTGATGGTTAAGGACTTACCGCGAAATGGCAATGGTAAAACCAATCGAATGGCCACCAAGTAAAACTTCCTTCAGGCCAAGGGTATTCCATAAGATGGTTATTTTTCATTCTGTTATCGCCTTGGAAAAGGGTCACAAATGCTCTTTTATCCCTGGACTAGTCATCGAAGGAAATATATTTAGCTCGATGAAGCTCCGACTTGTCGGTGAGGCTATGGCAATTGTTCTTCCGTTTCTGTCCACGTGTTCCCCTAAGTTTTGTTTCTGTTTATAGTCCTCCTCCTCCTTGCACATGGATACATATACGTGTACTATGGAAAATAAATATAGTACACGTGCGGACGTACCAACATACACAAAGGTTCATCTACGAGTAGTCACATGAGCGGCATTTGTAACTGGTTTGCTTTTGTTCGAATTACAAGTTGCATTTTTGCCCGCCATTTGCTCTTATTGTCGACAATGGCAGGACCTGCGACCAGCACATGGGTATGGTTGTTGCTATTGCCGCTGTGTCAATATCCTGGCAGCATTGTTATTATTGCAGATGGAACATGCGCCTGCTCGTTAGCTGAAAAGTCGGTAGTTCCAGGGAGCATTGTCTACCCGGTCGATGTCCTTGTTTTCATCACCAACTTTGACATTTGATCAACACCATTCAAGGCAGAGGAGCCTTCTGAACGGGGGTTGGGTTGGGGTTCAGATTAAAGCTGTTAGCTAGCAATTGGTCTCATTTATTCCATTCTGTCTGTCATGGGGGGGTCTGCAACATGCTTTCACTTTAACGAGTGCAATTTCCATTACCGATGTACTGTCAACGGGAGGAAATTCGGGGAAAATTCTGTCAGTTAGCCACTTTAAATGGACCACAAATCGTTTGCTAACAACGCTCGAATTAATGATTAATTAATTTGATTTACGCTCAATTAAGTAATGTCGATTTCGCGCTGCACCGAATCGGAATATACTCATAAATAAATGAGCAGCGGCGGCAGTCGCCAATCAAATGAATCTTTTATTCATATTTGTTCGAGTTCATTCAATTGAAATGTATACTGAACACACTTTTTTGTCGTTTCGGAGGGATTATTATGCAATAATTATGAGCAAACAAGAATCAGCATTAATTTGTTGTATACAACATACTTTACATTCGATTCAATGAAGATCAATGGCTTGTCAGGAAGTTGAGCGGAATTTCCCAGCCTTTCAATAATCAAAGCAACTTTTCTTGGCTACAACCACTCAATAACTGGATTAACTAGCTAAGTACATATGTATATACTAAATAGCAGCCACTGGGCTTATAAAAGACGCGGCTTGGCTGGGATACACCTCAATGCTTGCTGAAGTGCCGAACAGATCAGAATGTTGGTGTTCTACAGTTTACTGGTTTTACTGGGGACATTGTTCACCTCATTTATTAGTAAATATCGGAAAGGACCTCCATTTAGATATCAAAATATAGTTTTTTTCGTTTTTGTAGCCCTAACGAGCAGCAGTTCGGCAAACTGAACGAATCGCAGGTTAGGAATGGAGAGCGAATCACGGAACTGGACGAACACCCTTGGATAGCCCGGATCGAGTTCACTGACTCCCTGGGAAACCGAGACTATGGGTGCGTAAGTGCCCTCATAGGTCCCCGTCATGTCGTCACAGCTGCTCATTGCCTGACTGGTTTCGGTAGGTAGGTCTCGGCAGTTGTCCTCGGCGACTGGGACTCCAGCAACGACATACCCGAGCGAGACTGCAATTCCCATCGAGTTAACCAGGAAGGTGGAAATCTCCAACTATGTTCAGCCCATATGCCTGCCCACAGCCGAAGAAGTTTCAAGTGGTACCGACGACACAACTCTCCAAGTGTCGGGCTTCTTGAGACCTAAAAACGGGCAATACCTAAGAGAATTAAGATGCCATTCCAGAAAGTCAGCACTGAAGAGTGCCGGAAAAAGGATGGACACAATGTAATAGCTACTTCGAACATTTGCGGGATCACCGACTTTCAGCCCCTGTCAGGGGCTCCCCTCATCGAGGCCCATGGAGGGGATCGTAGGTTCCATCTAGTTGGCGTGGCGGCCGCGGGATTTCCCTCTGAACCGAGTATGCATTTGCATACTAACGTTCGTTTGCATCGCGATTGGATTCTGCAGAACAACAAAATCTAGCCCCTGTTTAAATATTATAGGGGTCTTGCTGGGTTTTTCGACAGGTTGATTTATGAATAAAGCTGAAATCGCCTGACGACTCCTGAATTTTGGGATTTCTTTCCGCCGCTAATAGATTGAAAATTCTTTGAGGTTATTTACACAAAAGTTACCCCATTTCTGACCCGAACCCGAACGCATAAATCACAAGGAAACCCAAAACACAGTTGGGGACCGCACCTTTGGGCTGTCGCCTGCCCCGAAATTGGATTCTTTTAGCCAGCCATCGCTTTCGGTGCTTCATGCTGCTTTCTGCTTTCAGTTTTTTCGGCAAATGCAGTTTTCGGCACTTGGTTGGCGCCAAAAACCGTAAGTACATATCAGCATGGCATAATTTATATTTCTCACTCCCTGCCCCACCCCCAACCTGCAAGTCGAGCGAACTCCTTCGTTATCGAGAGCAAGCAACCGAGCAGCAGTCGTAGGAATATGGAAATGTGCAAACAGCTGCAGCCATAAATTCCGGTCTGTGCCAGGCCGGGCAGGGGAAGAAACGAAACGAAGCACTTGAACAAGTGGAGTAATAGATTTGGTTTGCCATTCGAATCACTGCTAATTGTCGACACCCGCTCCGCAGCGGGCAGGGTACTCTGAGCAGCTGGGGGACTCCATGAAGTCATCACGAAGGGTCCTGTCAAACAGCGTGATTCAGCGTTTCCAATGATTAATGAGCCATAAAATGCAAAGTTCGGTTGCGTTGCGTGCCAGAACACGCAAAAAACAAAATCTCTTGCTCTCTCTCTCTCTCTCTCTCTCTCTACAGAAGCCCAGCACGCAAAACACATGCTCAGCAGATCAGAATGAACAGGACCAGCCCGCAAATGTTCATGGCATTTTTATTGCAACTCGTAAAACACAAATTGAGACAGCATGAAGTGCGTGCGGCAATTACAGGCAATTAAATTTGTAAAAGCATGAAATGTCTTTTTAAACGCTTGTAGCATTTCTGCGGAGTGGATTATCGGAGTTCATTTCCCACGAAAATTGTGCCAACGCCTTTGTAGGGCTACGCAGCTCAATAATCAATAGATTACAGTGGTGCAGCAGTAAAGTAAAACCCTATTATTGTTTGTTGTTTGCACATTGTAAGCTGCATTCATATGTATACATACATACATACATATGTACATATGCTCTCGCACTGCAGCTGCCTATGCAGCCGTTCTCTCGCGTCTTTCATTGTATCTTTCGGCTTTTCTTTCGCTCTCTCGATCTGTCGCGCTCTCGCTGATCAATTCGACCAGCCTGCCTGCGAATTTAGTCGGCACCTAGCAGCTCGTGAGCCGAGCTAATCATTCAACAGACCCGTCGTGCTCTTTTCGTTAGCCTAACTCGTGCCTTTCGCTGTCCCTTCGACTCTGTATCGCACTACATACCTACATACATACGCTGCTGACAAAGCTCAGCAGCTCAACAGCCTTCTCATCGTCAATTCAGTTTTTATCCAACCACGAGAGAGCAGAGCGGATCGGAGCAGACCAGTGCAATATGTATTCATCCAGATCAGTCCCTATTTTCTTGGTATTATCTTTTATTACGCTGAGAAGTATGTTTTGATTACGCGGTTGAGGCTTCTTTAATATACATGCATATACGTTTTTTTTACAGATGCAGCATTGGCCAGCAAAAGATTTGATTGTGTGAATGCATTAACCAATGATACGGAATCGATCGGAAAGATTATGTATTACAGTCCAAATCTCGACTACCTGTATCCCTGCTCTGGCGTTGCTATCACCATTCGCCACATCCTGACGCCGGCGCACTGTGTGATTTGGAAGCCCCAACGGGACTACAGGTTCAGGACTAAAAATAAAATACACCCCATCAGCCAGATTTTCATTCATCCGAAATACACTTTGGACCGCTCTGACAACAATATCGCAATACTACAGCTGGAAGGCGATCTTAACATGGCATCCGGCCTGTCTCTTGCCGAGGACGTAGACCCCGGTTCCCTGATCGCCCGACGCTTCGATGTGGTGACCTTAGGTCAGGGCAAAAGTGGAACACGGAGCCATCGAACAACTAAAATTACGAGTCAGGCCTACTGCCAGCGCAAATTCGAGGGTCTGGCCATAACGGAGCTTGAGGTGTGCGCACACATCCCGACAGACAGCCCCGTGTTGGCAGGTTCGCCCTTGGTGGGCATCAAAATGGAGAACGGCACTGGGGCATGCAACCTTTTGGGGATTTCCCTGCATGGATTGGCTAAGAACAATCCGCAAATGCCGACCCTATTCGCACTCATTTCAACGCACAGGCAGTGGATTGAAGAGATAACTAGTTATAATTACACCAAGTCGAGCATACAGAGAGAGAGCTAAAAATATGTACATATATGACATTATATGCAAAGCCCTGCGGCTCGATAAACTTTAATCAGCGGTTCAGAGACTGAGAATGATTCAATCAATTCAGTCTTTGTTGGGTCGACGTCCTATTCACAGCTCACACAACGAGATGCCGGGATCTAGGGTATTTGTATTTGTGAACTCTATTGTTCTATCCGTGCTAGGTAAGATGACCAAGGTTCTTGAGGCGACACCAATTAAATTCCTCCTTCCTGAACTCAGCCATTGCGGTAGTGTGTGAAGAGGAAGCATGTGGCAGACTGGATGAGAGACAGCTCTACACGAACAAGGTGTACGCCGAGCAGGATGAGCAGCCATGGCTGGGTCGTCTTGTCTATAAGAACAGTAGTGAGGCATTCATATTTCATTGCGTAGCCGTGCTCCTCAATGCCCGGCATGCCCTTAATCCCGCCAGCTGTTTCTATCGAAACAAAAAACCACACACGCCCTATGCGGTTCTGTTCGACACCTCCGACTGTGAGTCCAGCACACACACAAAAATGTTCTCGATTGAAAAGTTTATTGTGCATCCCGACTACAATATCAACACACTTGGGGATGACCTGGCTGTTATCAGACTGGATCGCGGTGTGCCCTTCTCTATCTTTGCTCAGCCCATTTGCATGCCACAGCCCTGGGAAGGTGCAACTACTTTTGTTGCAACTAACGTGGACCTGATTGGTTACGATGGGCATGACGGCAAGAAAATGCATAGCCGCCGCATCAAGACTTATGCGAACATCCGCGATAAGCAGTTTTGTAAGAAAAGCTACGAGCTAATCACGGAGCATCAGATGTGCGGACATGTTGAAGGAGCGGATCTGCAGTATGGGTCGGCTTTGGTAGCGGTTCGTGTGGAGAACGGCGTGCCCAAAAACTACTATCTTATCGGCAATTTGATGGGCAGATTTGAATCGTACCTCGAAGCGCCATACCTGTTTATGTTTATTGCCCCATACAGGGATTGGATTTTGGATAATATTCAGGCAATTTGATTTTATATATATTTTTTTGTAATTTCTATTGTTATTTGAAACACTTTTTGAATGTAAAAAGGAATCGATATATAGAGGACATATATCACAAAGAGCATAGTGTGTTATTTTGAAACACACACATACATTTCAAATAAAACTAACATTTCCATCGAAAATTGTTCGATATACACACATATGGAGCTATGCATATACATATACCATTATAAAACGGGTTCAATTTATCCAAAAGAATAATGATTATGTTTGAATTTTGTACCAGCAAAAATAGGACATTGAAATTCCATTTAAAAATAACCATGCCCGACCATGTTTGTGAGTTTGTGCATCTCCCCGTTCCGAACCCCCTTAGAACATCCTTAGATTTTAAGCTGCTCAGCAAAATTTTCAATCAGCTTAATACACGCTTGGGCTGCCATAAATGCATTCATCACAATATGACCATACCCTTTGTTTCCATGCGTCTTTCACCTGAGAAAATGATATCTGCAGGAGGTGCACCCATCCGCTGCCCAGCCCACCTATTAGTTCGACTCCTCCTCACCTCGTCGCTGAAATTGTTGTGTTATCGCACGGTGGCAGCATTCAGAACTCCAAACAACTTATAAGCCTATTAATCGCTGGGGCATACATAAATGCATCAATCCCTAAATGGTCAACGAGCATGGAGCAGAAACACACACATCGGCCTGTCGCTAACAAAAGGACATCTGAAGAAGTTGCAAGAGCCAATCTAGGCAAAGAGGTTCCTTGGACTAACAAAAATATTTGCGGCCTGTCCGATGAGAGGCTTGTAGCTGCTGTGAGGTGGCCTAGGATTTTTGGGGTCCGCCGAAAATTAGGCACCGTCTAACGAGCGGCAAGACAAAAATGGCAAAGAGGGCCAGGGATCAGAGAGTGGGTCAGAGCCAGGTCAAACTTCCTCATCGAAGAAGAGCGGGTTCGAAATAGAAGTTCGACAAGAAAAGTTTTAAATAGATGTCATTGGGACGCCATCACAGTATTCGACAGCGTTAAATGGTGTTCAACAAGTACCCTCTAAAGTGGCAGAATGATTATAATATTCAACGAGGGGGAACGTTGTGAGTTGCTGCGGACACCGCAACTCTACAGTTATACCCGATATTAAGTCAGTATGGCTCTCCTCCGGCAGAATATTAAGCGACACGACAAAGAGTGTGTCCGAGAGAGACAGAAAATCAGTCTGAGCGTGACGTCGGGCGCTGCGTAGCCAGTGCAAATTGATTTGTTCCTTTTGGATATAAAAATTACCTGATCTGATCCAAATTCAGCAACCGGATAGATATGGTCATTCTCTATGATTCTGCGTTTTTAGTTTTCTCGAATCTGCAATATTGTGGATGCAACAGATTTTCGTCCTTTGTGGGGGCGGATGGGGGTGGGGCGAAATTCTGAGATATACGTTTTATGTTGACATCTTAAAGGAGTGTGTGTACCAAATTTGGTTACTCTAGCCTTAATAGTCTCTGAGATTTGTGGTTGCCTCAGATTTTCGTCCTTTGCGGGGGCGGAAGGGGGTGTGGCGAAATTTGGACACGAAACGGTCAAGGTCCGATATCACAGGAGTGTGGATACCAAATTTGGTTGCTCTGGCTCTTATAGGTTCTGAGATCCTTGAACTCATATTTTGCAATTGGCAAAACCGACCATGAAACCTGTGTGTTAGAGTGAGACAGAGCGAGAAAGAATGAAATTGTTTTCTTGATTCTGGCTATAATAATTATACGATCTGGTTGAGATTTTACACTCTAGAACATATAGTCATCCTCTACGATTCTGCGTTTTTGGTTTTATCGTATCTTTAAAAATGTGGATGCCACAGATTTTCGTCCTTTGTGGGGGCGGAAGTGGGCGGGGCGAAGTTTTGAAATATTTTTGTAGCAGTGACATATCACAGAAGTCTGGATCCAAAACAACGTTGCTCTAGCTCTTATAGTCTTTGAGCATTAGGCGCTGAAGGGGACGGACAGACGGACAGACAGACAGGGCTCAATCGACTCGGCTATTGATGCTGATCAAGAATATATATACTTTATGGGGTCGGAAACGATTCCTTCTGGACGTTACACACATCCACTTTTACCACAAATCTAATATACCCCAATACTCATTTTGAGTATCGGGTATAAAAAACGCACCAAAAACTCGACCTCTTGGGTAGTGTGGAATGTTTATTAAAATTAATAAATAAATCCGGTCCCGCAAGATTGCTGAAAGCGTTGGCCAGCTCAACCTTTAACTGAGCTCCGACGTAGCTCTATCTGGTCCGACGTACACGGATCCCTATGCCTCTCCGACTATACTCCGCTAAAAACTTGACTGCTGTTTCGTTAACGGGATAGCCAGATGCTAGCAACTTCGCCATAAAAGCAGGATTTGCCTCAGGGAATATATGTAGAAGGCTTTTCAGTGTTGGCATAGGGCTTCTTTCGTGCTTATTTGTTTCGGTTTTGTTTCCTTGTCCGCGTACTTTGCAAGGCGTAGAAGGTTACCAAAGAAAATAACTTTCCCAATCTGTCAATGGTCGAGAATTAGCCAAAAATGTGTCATACAATTGGTGGTACTTATACTTACTTTGCCTATTCATGCTGAAACTCTTCGGGCGAATCATCCTCTTCCGCTTTTGGCATACTGAGCAACTTGTCCTTCGTTCGTTGGGGACAAGCGCGTACCTTAAACTGGTGTCGCCTTCGGACCTTGGGTCCTTGTAGAAGGCATTGTGGTAGTAGTAGCCTGGCACACTCATCCATAGTCTTTTGCTCCATCTTCATCAGTAGCTTGGTCGCGTTGCACCTCATATGGCATAGCCGGCAGGTTTTCTATTGCATTTTTACAGTCTTTAAAAGGGCTTACTGCTTACTTAATTTCTTCGATGGAGCCATTAAAGCCCGATTTTTGTCTCGGTGCGCGAAAATATCCGAGGCAGGGCCATCGCAGAGCAGGGCGGCCGATGCAAAGCTGTGGGAAGGTGGAGGAGGATATTGTTAGTTTAAGAATTTGGGCAGATATCGTGTCTTTTCACTCACCTGGTTGATGGGACACTGAAACTCTCAGGTCGCTTGCAGCAGTCGGTCTCATCGTGGACATTGTCACAGTTGTCACTGGTGGTACCATCGCAGATCAGAGTCTTGTCTCTGCCCTCGGTTGACTGTCAGCTGAACTGATCCGCCGGGCAGTCCTTTCGTCACAGCGCCAGAAGGCGGATATACAGTAGTTCTTTATGTCACTACTCCCGCCACTTAAAATTATCTGTCCGGATAGACGCCGTAGTTCTCCTTGTCCTCCAGTAGCATCAGATGCTTGGGGCACGAGCAGACGTCGTGAGTACTGCGTGTCACACCCCGCTGGCTATGCAGATGTGGGAACAATTTGGGCAACTGTGCCATGTGATTGCGCAGCACTTTCGCATCCGGTGTCCACACGGCACTGATGTCGGTGAACTGCGACAGACGCTGCAGCTCCGCGGAACGACGCTCTCCGTTGACAGTGATCCACTCCAGTCCGGTCTTGTCATCCAGCCAGTACACAAATCCCCCCAAGGCGGCAATGTTGTTCACCTGCGTGATGTGCATGGAAACAAAGGTTTTCCTGTGAGAGGGAACAGGGGATTACACATGTGTTCAGAGGGTCGGGTCTCCATATTGGTTGCTTACTTGTTCTTTCCTTTGAGGTCTATCACATTGATTCACTTGCCATGGGCATAGTTGTAGTCGGACTGTTGGTCCAGGGCCAGCGCCGTGACTCCATCCAGCTTGTAGGCCAGCTCCACACGCTCATTGCCTTCGACTCGGGCCCGAATGATGGCCTGATGGCTGCTGACATCTTCTCCAAGGCTTCTCCGAGTCCCCGGTATCGTTGACGCCTACCGATTCACCCAGGAAGCTAAAAGAGGCAACGCTTTAGGAACACAATTGTGCGGATGAATCGGAGAGAGAGAGAGATTCACCTTGTCACGTTAATGCTGTTGGAGTAGGAGCAGGTCCAGCAGAGCAGCCGCCCAATGATGTCGATTGCAATGTCGAACGGCTGTCCGGAGTTGGCCAAGAGGCTCACCTTTTTGCCATTTGCCAGAGAACGCTTGATGCTGTGACTCCTGCCTTCGATTTTGAAAAGAAAAAGAAGGATTAGGGATATTAGGGAAACCGCGCTCAGCTTCTGCAAATCCTCCTTACCCAGTAAATGTAATGCGAGATCGGATCATAGTCCACGGCGCGGATATTCTTGCCGCACACTGGCAGCGGCACATTTGAGCAGTCTGTCGTGTTCGGCAGCAGTCGGCCGAAGCTGTTCCTCTGGCTGAAGATGATGTAGTTCTTGCAGGAGACCCAGTCCTTTGCCAGCTGGTAGTGGGTGGGGCAGGCACAGGTCATGCCCCGTCTGCGGGCTGGGCCAGGCACAGGTGGGAGCAGCTCCCGTTGTTGATCTTGCACGTATTAGCCCCACCTGTCGCTTGTCGTTGCACACAAGCAGCGAAGTCATGCCCGAGTGGACGAGGCTGCGGTTCTCGCACGTCGTCTTGTGCACCCCCTCAATGTCGCCGGTGTTCCAGTCGCTCCAGTACACGTAGTCCTGATACAGGGAAACCGCGTGGCGCTGCTTATGGAGTCCGAAGGCGACTCTGTCCAGTACATGTAGCCGCGGCGCGGCTCGAGGACCAGGGACCGGGGCTCCTCCACCTCCTTCCACAAGAGCACGCGCCGACTGCTGCCATCCAGGCGGGCGACCTCGATGAGACGAACCTCCGCATCGGACCATCGGATGCCGTCCGGCCCAATCAGACCCGAGTCCACGATCTGCTGCACATAGGAGCCATTGAGAAAGGCCCGGAAGATGCACTTGGTCTTCTGGTCAGTCCAGAAGATGCGCCTCCCCGCCACCGACACGTCCAGGGCGTGCGCATCGCCCACATCCTTGAAGGGTATCGCTCGTCGTCGTGGTTCCGTTCCCGTCGCTGTACTCGGTCGAGAGAACAGCAGAAAGGCGGCAGGCACAGGTACAGGCGGTGGAGCAGGCCCCATTCCCCACGGCTCACGCACGTTCTCCACGGTCTTTCCATCGCACCAGACGC